TTAGTACATTCCTAATTGTCTCTGTTAGTATCAATTATAGTACTTGAAAATCAACCACATCTAAGACCGACTTTGTGTTCACTTCAAACAACTTTTTGTTCCATTGAAAATACATGTGCTACAGTGTCATTTTTAGACTTCTGAGGCATTTTAAAAAGCCTCTTTTCCTTTGACATGTTATTTTCGATATTATTCTTATTAGTTTTTGCACCGTATTATTTGGAAGAAAGAAATCAATTGAGATTAAAGACCTTGGGATGAACCAAACTTTGATATTTTAAAATGTCTACAATGAAGCATTTTTGTGAAAAGACATGTAAATCAATTTTATGAAAAATGCCAGTGAAAGTGACACATGGAAAAGCAAAAATTAGAATAAAGTGCCATTATGGTCCCCAGTTAGTCGAAAACAATTTAAAATATTTTCCCTTTCATGTGTTTGCAGGTATGTTGGGTGTTTCTCCAGTACCCAGATCCTCAAGTGAATGACTTGTTTTTGGCAAAAAAAAATTCCTTTGGTCCTTTTTTTTTTCCTGAAGAAACCCAGAGATGCCCTCTCAAGTCAAGTATGATGAGCCATAGATAACTGCGACTTCCTGACACAGGTCACTTGAGGGGACCTGATGAGGCATTTCACTGTGCCACCTCCCCTGTTACAGGGTCAGCCATCTCCCCCAGTTGTATAGAGTTTCTGCTTGCTTCCAAAGATGAATAAAATACTATCCCTTTGGAAGGGAATACAAACAGAAGCAGTAGCTTTATAATATCAGAATCAAACTTCTTTGCTAGCTAAGAATACTGGGAGTAGCAAACTTATGAGTTTGTCATTGAATGACTTCACTACTTCCCCTCTATTTAATATTTTATCCCATTGGCAGGAGAAATTCATTTTATTCAATAATAAGCCCATTCATAGGAATAGTACTGTAGAGGGTGCTGGCTAGTACTACAATTCAGTGGCCACATGTGCTTAGTTAAATTTCACTTAATTAAAATCAAATTAGTGAAAAATGAATACAGCTACTTTAAAAAAGTTGTTCACTTGCACTTGCCTTATTTCAAGTTATTTCATATTCTCGTTAACCACACATGGCTTTTGGCTACTGTGTTAGATGAGGCAGAATATAAACTATTTGTCATTAGAAAAATTTTTTGTGCAGTATGGACCTAGAGTGATTTTGGTGCCTTCTCTTTTGATCCTTAGAATAATCCTATGAAATGACAAGGTGCAGAATATTATTTATATCCAGAGATGAGGGGAAAGGAAAGTTCCAGGGGTTTAGTAATGAGTCTTGCCTTAGAATTTAACTTATAATACTTCCTTGCAAATTCAGGAAAATGCAAAGTAAAGATGAACACAAATGAATAAAAGCTTAGATTCACAAAATTTGTTTTTAAAAAGAAATAATTTGAGACAGATATATCTTAGCTTGTTTACTGTTTTATTCCAGTATCTCCTTGGAATAACCTTTTTTATCAGTTTGAACTAAGAATGGAGTGTACTGAGTTCAATCATTTTAAAAGTTTAAAATATTTTTCTAAATGTGTAGATATGGTTTCATGACAATAAAATGCAGTAAACTTTTCTGCAGTGATTTTTTTCTTAACTCTGTCTAGATTTGTGTTTAGCCGAGAAAAGGATAGTTTTAAATTAATACTTTTTGGGCCCCAGTAGTAGGTGAACAAACATAGTCTATAGTCTTAGGTTCTGTCTTTTAAAATAGTAAATTATATTTTATTTTTGGTGGTGTTTAAATGATACACGTTACATTTTACTGTAATTTCAGTGTAATTCAAATGGAACAGAAGTGCTGAAATTCTCACAGATGTAACCTTTAAATCTTTTTATTTTAATCCTTCAAATCTTTTTGAAAGGAAAAAGGAACTGGACAGAGAAGTTGTTTCCTTGCAATAGTATATAAAACTTGTAATTCTAATAATATGTTAGCTTTTCATTACAATGCTGATTACAATTTTCATTACAATGCTGGTCTACTGCTAATAATCTCTGCCTTTTTTCAAGAGAGAAAATTGATAACCTTTAGAAGTATTAGTATTATTGTCCTTGATATTTAATGAGATTTTTGTTTTTCTCTTCATTTCTTGGTAGTTTGTGAAAGAGCAATGATCTGAAGGTATTCTTCAGCATACCTAATCTTAAAACATAAAATTATCACTGAATCTCTGAAATTATCCCAAAACATTAGCTTTTGACTGATTTTTCAAAATTAAAACACAAATTTTGGATGTATTTAAACAGCCAACTTGAAATGTATAACTCTGCTCTCAGAACAGTTTAGTTCCAAAACCAAATGTTTTACTGGCAGGTTTTGGACAAAATCGATTTAATTTGATAGTCTCTTTAACCCGATAGTAATCTCCCTTCACCTGATTTTCTGATTATTGAAATAATGGCCCAATACAAGAAGGGGTGTTGTGTTAAACTGAGTAAAATTTGATTTTACTCCAAAATCATGATTCAGGTTTTCTTAAGACTTTACATGCTTTTTATCTAGCACTTTCAATGTGAACCTGGAAGGAAATTGAGTCTAGGAGATGCCAAAAAAAAAAAAAAAAGATAAAAGAAAGAAATGGTGGTGCGCTCTGATTTCTCAGGAATCCCTGTTTTACAAGCAGAAGTTCAAACATTTTCTATTAGGAATCTCTGGAGCCATCTGTGAGCCAAGATAAGCCAGTGTCTGTCTCTAGATCATGTGTGCTGGCTTTCTTTACTTTTATAGGAGAAGAATGATTTCTTTCTGAATTTGCCCCTTTGAAATCAAGTGTAAATTCCTGACAAAAGCACCTGAATTAATGATGACAACCTTTTTAAATGCTTTGTTTGGTTTTGAAAGCAAGGTTTTTCCTCACCTCTAGGGAATTGGGAAATAGATGGAGGAATTTTGTAATACCATGCATTACACTTCAGTGCAACTTTGCATTTCTTTCTCTCTCTTTTACTTTTTTTTGGTGGGGTGTGCAGGGAGGGTTGCTTAGTTGGACATACCCTGTCAGTGCTCAGAAACTACTTTTGGCTCCACACTTTGGAGAACCCCTGGTTGTGGTCTGTAGAAGCATATGCAGTATCAGGGAGGCACTTACCTTACAATTATATACTATACTGTCTGCCCACCACCTTTGATTATTTGGACATACAAGGACTGGGTTACAATGGAGAATCAATTGTGCAGTCTGACTTTGAGTGACCCACACTTCTGAGGACTTGGCAAGTGACAGGTGGGACATGCCCCTGTCCCTTACCTTCTGTTTCTTAGATGAATCTTAAGGTTGCACAGAAACATTGTAATCCTCTGAGGTTTGTGGGAGGCCTTCTTTTAATAGGAAGTAATGTTGTTTTGCTTCAGTGTTAAAGCACAGTTGGCTAGAATTGTTGCCCCGGGATTAAAATTAGAGGCTAAGGGAACTTTGTGCCAGAGAGCTTAAGGAATTTGATCAAGACCCCAGCTTGGTAAGTGGCAGAATGTACTTCAGTCTTCATGCCGTAGACTAGAAATACAAACAGGGCAGTCTGTGAACCAAAGCAAAATTATTTGCCTATTAAATAAAATGATTTTGAAATTTCTCATGGAGGGATTTGGATATGAGCAGTGATCACACATGTCATTTTTGAGCAGCTGTTGGAAAAGGCAGAATATGATTATACCACGTGCTTAATCTATTACATCTGGATGCTGGAAAAAACTGTAGGACGCTGATGGTTGGAAGAGAAAATCTCTTCCTTATTGGAGCACTCCATAGAAATCTCTATGTTATGGGGGCCAGAGCTATAGAATAGCCAGCATGTAGGATGCTTACCATGTACGTGGCTGACCTGGGTTCGGTCCCTGTGAGTCCTGCCATGAGTGATCTCAGGGCACAGAGCCTGGAGTAAGCCCTCGGCACTGATGAGTGTGATCCCCAGACTGGAACCAAACCAAGCAAATAACCCTCTTATTTTAAATCATGAATTTGGGCTTACTTGGGTGCACTTAACTACCTGTTGAGGTTGAAGCTGAGAAGTGGGTTGAGTGGAAGAGCTTTTTGGCATTTATTGTCCTCATACTTAATAACTCATAATTTTGGATAGAATGTAGACCAGTAGTTATTTTCATGGTGAAATTATTTTATGTTGGCTTAGAACGTATTACCATAACCCTCTCGAAGGATAGGCTGGGCCTTTGTGATGAGATACATCCAAAATACTTAAAAATTTCATTTTGGTCTTTCATTAATATTTTAAATCCCCTGCATTAATAAATTTCTAGTCAAATTTAGCATACGTTGACTTTCATTAATAAACCATTTCATGTGATCATTTTGGCTCTTATGTTTTGCTTAAACGATAGGCTTTATCTTTGCCTGCAGCCTCATTGTTTTAGGAACTGAATAGAGGATTTCCCTGAAACATGACTCCATTGAGTAATCTCCACTCCATTGAGTAATCTCTGAGCAACTGCCTCTAGTTTTGACAGCAGCCCTCAGCATTGGGAGGAGAAATCGCACATGATTTGGATGCTTCTCTATAGAAATGTGGTTTGAAGGATGTAGTAGTAAAACCTGCTTACTTGAAAATTGTATTTCTTTATTATTAAGTCCTTCCAATTGATTCTAGCACTCTCATTACTTACTATCATCTGTTACCATGGTCAAAAATGTTTAGCATAATGGGTCTCTCAAAGAGTAGCTATTGAGAAATGAAGAGTGAATTTATTTGGCTCTGATTATTCAAGTGGTTTCATAATAGGCAGAAGTATTATTGTATTTTTTCTGGAGGAGAGGTTGGGGCTGTATCAAAGATTGCTCAGGGGTCACTCTTGGGGGTACGAAGAATTTGTGATGCCAGGGATTGAACTGGGAAAGGCAAGCTCCTTAACCCCGTATGCTGTCTTGGGTCCTCTATTGTGGCTTTGGATAAGGAGTACTGGGTACTGTCCTCTCGTGTCCTTTGCAGAGAACATTGAACAATCCCTTTAAAGCAGTATCCCTCTCTTCTATACCAGGTCACTTCAGGTGGAACGTTCATTGGCATCGGCCGGAAGACCCCAGATTGCCAAGGAAACACGAAGTACTTCCGCTGCAAATTCTGCAATTTCACGTATATGGGCAACTCATCCACTGAACTCGAGCAGCATTTTCTTCAGACTCACCCGAACAAAATCAAAGTGTCTCTCCCGTCCTCAGAGGCTGCCAAACCTTCTGAGAAGAACTCTAACAAATCCCTTGCTGCACATCGCCCCGGCGATTCCGGGGACTCGGGGAAGTGGCAAGATAAGATCACCGTCAAGGCAGGAGATGATACTCCTGTCGGCTACTCGGTGCCCATCAAGCCTCTGGAGTCCTCGAGACAGAATGGCACAGAGGCCACCAGTTACTACTGGTGTAAATTCTGTAGTTTCAGCTGCGAGTCTTCGAGCTCACTCAAGCTGCTAGAACATTACGGCAAGCAGCATGGGGCTGCCGTGTCAGGCAGCCTTAACCCAGAGTTGAACGAGAAACTCTCCAGGGGCTCTGTCATTAACCAGAACGATCTAGCCAGAAGTGCAGAAGGGGACCCCATGCCCAAGGTAGATAAGGGCTCTGGGGGGGCTAAGAAGAAGGACTTCTCCAGCAAGGGAGCGGAGGACAATGTGGTCACGAGCTACAACTGTCAGTTCTGCGACTTTCGCTATTCCAAGAGCCACGGCCCCGACGTGATCGTGGTGGGGCCCCTTCTCCGTCACTATCAGCAGCTCCATAACATCCATAAGTGTACCATTAAACACTGTCCGTTCTGTCCCCGAGGGCTTTGCAGCCCCGAAAAGCACCTTGGAGAGATCACTTACCCTTTCGCGTGTAGAAAAAGTAATTGTTCCCACTGTGCGCTCTTGCTTTTGCACTTGTCCCCCGGGGCGGCCGGCAGCTCCCGGGTCAAGCACCAGTGCCACCAGTGCTCCTTCTCCACCCCCGATGTAGATGTGCTCCTGTTCCATTACGAGAGCGTGCACGAGCCGCAGGCGTCCGAGGTCAAACAGGAAGCCAACCATCTGCAAGGGTTGGAAGGGCAGCCGGCGGTCAAGGACAGCAAAGAACACTCATGTACCAAATGTGATTTTATTACCCAGGTGGAAGAAGAGATTTCCCGACACTACAGGTAAGCCCTCTGGAGTGAGCATCGATGTGACGGTAGGCAGAATGCAAGGGCTGATGGAAGAACTGGGTGGGGAGGGTGACACCCATCCTCAGGACATTTAGAAGCTCACATCAGTGCTGTTGCCTTCAGAAAGTTGCTGCTTTCGTATTTATGAATAGGTTAACCCCGGCTTTGACTTTAGCCCCATGCTTCAGCTCCCTTCCTTTGCGCATTTTTTACAGCATTGAGAAGGATGCTGAAGAATTTGCTCTTTATTGTGATTCATTTATTTCCTCCTGCTGTGTTTGACTCCCCGTCTGATAAGATTTGATGGAGTAGATCCCAAAGGAAAAGTTCTACTCTATGATGTGTTTATTTGCTTTTCCGAGTCTTAGACTGAGAACATATTGCGGCTTTTCTTTCCCGAAGTGATTGGACTTGTTTTTAGGTTTCTCCTCCTATTGCACGCTGGAAGGTGAGGATTCTGTACTCTGTGTATCTTTGAATTTCTGCCTCTCTCCTCTGAGTATCTGAGCTGCTGCCTGTTTCTTTGGGTTCGGAAGGAGCAGTGGGATGTGTTAGTGTTTTCCTTCAACTGCTCCCTGTTTTCTTTATAAATACTAATTTTCTCAGTTCAACTTTCATATTATTGATTGGGGTTGGCGGGGGGGGGGGGGTTAGGTTAGGACCAGCAGTGCTCAGGGCTATTCCTACATTACCTCAAGGATTTGTGGCAGTCTTTGGGAGCGCATATGTGACAAACCATATTAAGATCCCATAAGTAGGGGTCTTAACTACTATTGGATGTGTGCAAGGCATCCACCTTACTCCAGTTCTATTTCACCGGCCCTGGAACCTAACACTTTAGGAAGAACAATCTTAACAGATCATTCTTGAATTGATGAGTGTCACCGAAAGGGCAGCAGAGAACACTGTATTTGGGCTTCTCTTTTCTATTACTGGGTTTTCGAGTGTTAGGGATTGAGGCCAGGAGTCTCACACTTGCAAAGTCAAAGTGTTCTACCACTGAGCTGCATCCAGCTCTCCAAGCACTGAATTTGACTACAGTGACAACATCATCCAAAGGAATGTTTAAACTGCAACTGTTAGAAGTAGGAATGTGGTCAGCAAAACCCTGCCTTATAGAACTCAGATGGGCTGGAGCGATAGCACAGCGGGTAGGGCGTTTGCCTTACAAGCGGTCAACATGGCCGACCCGAGTTCAATTCCTCTGCCCCTCTCGGAGAGCCCGGCAAGCTACCGAGAGTATTCGATATGCCAGACACAGTAACAACAAAGTCTCCAATGGAGACGTTACTGGGCCCGCTCGAGCAAATAGAACTCAGATATCATGATGCGCTTATTTGGTGCTTTCTTGTTACTGTGCTTGTACGTAGCAAAGGAAAGAGTTTCTGCACTATCTTCAGTGCTTTTCTATATGGAGACTCCATATTCTAATTTAAGAAGCTAGTTATTTTAATGTCACATTCCAAGATTTTTAACTGGTTCCTCCCATTCTTTGTGAAAGTTGTGTTATTCCAATTGTGTGTATGTTTTCCCAATCACAATAATGAAGCACTTTGTGCCCAGCTATAGGCTAATAATGTTAGATGTTAATTTGAAGGGCATCCTAATGTTCACAGTGAATCTAAATGTTCAGAAAACACTTCTTTGAGGTTTACACTGTTTAATTTATAAGGTCATCCTTGGGAAAGACAGTCCTGCTATCAAGTAAGTGTTCACACTTGCAGTGAGTGTTTCTGCCTCCTCTGATGTTAGCTGCATGCAAATTTATTTCTGGGGCTAGCAGACATTAGCTTCTTTCTGAGCTTCACCAGTGTGGATGAACGCATATGTGCATATGGTGCATGTACATATGTTACGTGATGTAAAAATTAGATAAGCTGGCTTTTTTTTTTAAAGTACACACTTTTGGAACTGAGAGATAGTAGAGCTGGTAAGGTACTGCCTGGTACGCAGGTTTGACCCCCAGCACTGCAGATGGTCCCATGAGCTCTGCCATGAATGATCCCTGAGCACAGTGCCAGGAGTAAACCCTGAACACTCTAACTGGGGTCCAAAAACTAGGTTTTCTTGAATCATGAGAAAGTCAGCCGCAATACACACACACTAACACACACACTCACACAAAGTCACACATACTCACACACTCACACCTCACACGCACTCTTTGTCTCTCTCAACCATCATCTTTAATTTCTTAGCCTCTGTCTGTCTCAATTTTTCTCTCCCCTGTATATCTAAATTCCTGATCCCTGGATGAGTGGCCTTAAGAAAACTCAACACTTGAAAAACTGGAGGAAAAGTATTGCTTGGAAAACTGGGGAATTAAGAGCTTCTTTGCACTTCGAGTGAACAAATAAAACTCTCAGATGTGAAAGTATGAATAGAAATATTACTGAATAATCTCAAAGTCTGATATTCAATCATGAATGTGAGCTCCAGAGTCTAGAGATTAGTGTACTCCTCTTTGTCATTCTACCTGTATGGCCTGGCACTGCACCAAGCTAATAGGTGCTCAGTTTGTTTCTTTAAGTCAGTCAGATCCTTGTCGATTTTTAAATTGCCACTGGTTATGAATAAACCAATGCCTCTCTGGTAAGCTGCAATCTATTCTTTGAGTAGTCTATCATTGTGGAACCCTTTTGAGGATGAGTAACAAATAACTTAAAATTGTCCTTTTCTCAAAAAAGTCAACTTCTCAGCAATGTGGCAGGAAATATAGATAGCACTAGAGTATTAAAATACCCTTGCATTTATTCTTCAAGTATGTGTCTCATGTGTTAAAGCATTCGTATCTTTTTAGGTGTTGAGTAGTTTGTTTCGGAATTCTTGTAAAAATGCTTGAAATTTGGAGACATTTTGCCTAAAAGTTGAACAACATTGGGCCCTGCAGGACTGTGAAAGAGGCGCATGGTTGTTGAAAGCTTGATTGGCTGTTAAAGTGTTTTCCTGAAATACAGAATTGAAGATAGTATAAGAGAACAAGTTTGCCCTAGCATAATAGCATTTCTCTAGTGAGATTTATGTTTATTCATAATATTTATGCTGGGAGGCTTTCGCCATACTTCTGTTATTACTGTGGACTATCCAGGGCTTTGGAGTGCTTTGAATCTGATTTACAGTGAATGAAAGGTACTAGAAGAAAGAACTATATAGTAAAGGTGAAATCATAAGCTGTAAAATAACTAATCCCGAGAAGCAGGAATGTTGATTTAGAGCTATTAGTAGCAAACCTCAGTGTGGATTTCGTTCCATGGGTGTTTTCCCAAAGACCCAGGGAGTAGCCTGTGAAGAACTTCAGGCAGTTACCAGAAACTGGTGGGTTCTCTTAATGTTTCATTTTTTTTATTATGGTACCCCTAGGTCATGTCATGACTCAGTCATTCTACTCAGGAATTTGGTTCTCATACTCAGATTTCTTTTTATTATTTGATTAACTCCATGACTGATCTCCCCTTGAAAATTTTCAGTGTTAAAGAGCTTATGTTTCTGGAGTAACTTGGAGGACCATTTCACTGTCTCTCATGAAAACAGCTCTAAGGAGGGACCAGAGAGAGCTCACAGGGTCAAGTGGGTGCTTTGCATGTGGAAGTTTCCACCCCAGTGCCGTAAGTTTTCTGAGCATCGACAAGCCCTGAGCACATAGTCAGGGGTGAATCCTGAATGCAGCCAGTATGACTGCAAAAAAAAAAAAAACAAACAAAAATACAATAACAGAACCATTGTACTGGATAAAACATACTTCCTGCCGTTGTGCCATTATGATTTCATGAGGGATGAGACATACTGGAAGCTGGTCTCTTCCCTTCTCTCAAGAGTGAGCTGAAGTCACAGTGGGGAGAAGTGAAGAGCCAGGACAGAGTCTGAGATGGCACAGAGGGCAGATGTCAGGATTGAAGCTGCAGCTGATCAGAAGGCTAAGTCTGAAGGCCCTGGCAGAAAGCGGGTGCTGAATCTGTGGGTTTCGTTTCAAGCTGGCACTTCAGAGGTGCTGAAAGTGATTCCATATTAGTGCCTTCTTCTGACTCCTCTAGAAGTAAACACACTGGTTTATAGATATTGCTCCACTTTTTACCCTCCTGATTTTTATAGCTTCAGGTAAATATTACATTTTTCTGGCCATTATAGAAACTTATAATTTGAAAAGGATATATGTGTGTCTGAGTGTGTATATAACTATACTATTTAGGTCAAATTAGTAGAATGTGTAAATAACGTCTTCAGATATCTGGGGATATCAGATATTGCTGTTTCAGGCTGTAAAATAATAAATACATGCCTGAAAGAATGAAAATTAGATTTTCAAAATAATCAAGATATAGAAGGCTATAAATGACCAGAACTATTAAAAAGTGATAAAAGGGGGTTTGAAAATTTGAGATCTAATTGATTTAATTAAAATATATAAAAAGGTTAAATAGCAGATCAGTAAATAGTAGAGAGCAATTGAATAAATATAAAGCTAAATTTGAAGGATAAGAATATGTAAGAGAGAGAAAGGGGATAGAGATTTTCAAAAGTATCGAGTAAATTTTGTAAATACACTAAGCTGTTCTAACATACATTTAGAGTCCCAGAAATAAAGAATATCAGGCAGGCAACTGATATTTGAAGAGATAATACAGATTTTCTAGAACTATAAATGAGATATAAATACTCAAAAAATTATTGCTTTGTAGCCTGACAAGAATCATACAAATAAATCCAGTCATAGATATATTATAATCAAAGTTAAAATGCCAAGACCCTTTACAGCCACTAGACAAACAACGTGTCAGCTACTCAAAAAGATAATTGTCTTGACAGCATTCTTCTTAGTAATAGTGGTGAGAAACGCTGTTCAGATTTTAAAGGCAAAACCTCATTTAACCTAGAACTTGAGATGACATTTTGACATAAGTAGTAAAGCTGGAGCAGTGTGGATGATTACTATAACCATAACCTACCTGATGCAGTTAAAAATGGGCAGATTAAGATATTGGGCAGAACTTGTGCCA